CCGCCAGCCTTCTGGATAGCAGTCAGATGCCTTAGGCCCTATGCCACCAGAGCTACTGTACCATTATATGCCTGGCAGCACAATCACTTTGTAAACAGGAGACATGAGACACATATGTTGTACACGAAGCTGCTGTATTCATTAAATGCAGTTACATCTGTTACATCCTAATCTCTAATCAGGATTTCTGGACAATATTATAACCTTATGGAACTAAGGACATATATGTGGTTGGACACTGCCCAAATGGAAGTTATGTGGCTCATGGCTGTATAGAGGTCAGCGTTCAATACAGTGTTTTTGTAAAGGCATGTAAGAATGGAATGAGAAATGCCTCGCCATTTCACTCAACATCAAGAATCTAAAAGGTACCTGTTCACTGTGTAAGAACACTGATATAGGGCAAAGGATGTAATTAACTCATGCCTTAGGAAGCTTTCAGACTAGATGTTGTGGAACAAAAAGAATCCAAACCAAACCCGTTGCCATCAAGTCAATTCTGATTCATAGTAACCCTATAGGACAGAAAACTGGCCCATAGCATTCCCAGGGCTGTAAATCTTAATGGAAGCAGACTCCCTCTTTCTCCTGAGGAGAGTCAAAGTACTGTAACTTAAAAATAGAGAAGTACAGGTCTTGCCTTGTCTAGAAGACTTCCTGTTGGGCATTATCACTGCTGTGACAGAGCTGGATATTAGTTTCTTGTATCAGAAAACCAAGTGTCATTTTAGTGTTCAGACTGAAAGGTGAAATCAAACAATTTCAGAGAGATTAAAAGGGAGCTCTGGTGACAACAGTGCCTAAAGCATTTGACTGCTAACCATAAGGCTGGTTGTTCAAACCCACCGGCCACTCCTTGCAAGGAAGAGTGGGCAATCTACTTCTGTAGTGATACTGCCTCAAAAACCCAAGGAGGGGTCACTGTGAGTTGGATCCCACTTCACGGCAGTGAGGTTTTGTTTTTGTTTTTGTTTTTTTTTAAATGAGGGCCGGTGGCTCAGTGCTTAAGGTATTTGCTTACCAAAAGGTTGCAGTTCAAATCCACCAGCCACTCCATGGAAGAAGACTGGACAATCTATTTCTGTAAAGATTTACCACCTCAGAAACCCAAAGGGGGTCACAATGGGTTGGAATCGACTCAATGGCAGTGAATTTGGTTTGGAAAGTGATCTGTAGATACATTGTTTGAAGATGCATACATTCTTGGCCTGCTGTGCCCTCAGAAGGCTTGGTCATAACGTTTCCTTTCTGTGAGTCAGAAGTGGAGTTACTGTTGTAGTAGATAGGACCTTACCTTTGCCTTCAATGTTTCAAGAGAAATTTAACCAGAGCACCATCTAGTGTTGAGTAGACATGAGGGTGTATCTTTGGGTAGGTTTAAACACAGCAGCTTGTTTCTGTACTACAAGATACAACATTGTAAATTTTACTGATGATGTGGTTCCAGAGTCACTTAAGATCCTCAAATCTTTTACTCTCTATTTCAAAAGCTAAGTGAGAATGAAGTATTTAATAACTTCTTCTAATATTCTAAGAGAATGTTAGGAAAAAATGAAAGCCAGAAGTAATCTCCACATCTCATCCTTTTTTTGGTAATTTCAACTCTCTAGTCAATTGAATTTATAATAACTGTAGTATTAGTGCTTCACTTCATTTTGTGGATATGCTGCTACAGAAGTAGACTGTCCATCCTTCCTTCCGAGGAGTGGCTGGTGGGTTTGAACCACCAGCCTTCTGGTTAGCAGTCAAATGCCTTAAGCACTATGTCACCAGAGCTCCCAGTCAATTGAATTTGTAATAACTGTAATATTAGTGTTTCAGTTCATTTTGTGGATATGCTGCTAATCAGCAACACATTGCTAAAAAGGCAACAGTAACCTCAGAGACAAATAAAACCACTGCCCCCTCAAGTAACAAGATTAACAAATTACAAAAAATGCTCAGCAATTTTTTCTGGAGCAACCCAACAAAATACCGTATTGCCACAGGCAAAGGATCCTAGCAAGGTACTAGTTTTGTAGTAAGATACATCAGATGTTTTACTTTGACATTCTAATTTGTTTTAAAATCCTATCAGCTTTAAAAGAACTAATCTCAGAGATTTGGGACAATGAGACTTTCTGTCATACTATTTTCTCACCTTAGAATTTCCAGTTAATATTTATGCACTTGTATTCTACAAAAGCAAACCAAAAAATTCTAAACTGAGTTTTGCTGGCTATTGTATAACAATACTTTAAAAAACACTTGAGTTATTACAGGAATAAAGTTTAGTTTTCTTTACCACCCATCTCAAAATGGAGACTGATAGCATTTAAAGGTTGAACTGTAATTGCCAGCTGTTATTAAGGCAGGAATTTACTTTAAATAATAAAAGTTTAAACCAAAACAAGAAAAATTATTTCTTTGATCAAAATAAAGGCAGTCCCCGTGTTACCAAGTCCAATTTCATACAACCATTAAGAACCAACAACAACCCCCTTGGTTAAAAAAAAAATTGAGGTACATACAATGATTCGTAATAACATATAGGTACTACTTTGTGACACACATCAAAACATTATTATTACTGTATTATGTTAAAGATGGTTAGTGTTTTAATGTTTATCACGCATAAAAAAGTCCACTATATACTATTACAAACATACGATTACCTGATGTTGAATAGGAAGTGAACCTGTTTTTTAACTTAGGTACAAATTTGACTTAAAAGAGATTTAGGAAGGGAACTAGTTCATAATCCAGGGACCGCCTGTAACTCAGATTGGGAGAGTAACAATTGTTAGCATGCAAATTTTCTCAAAAGTTTTTTACATGAAGTCTTATTTAATTCCAAGTTTAAAAATTCTTGCCAGCTAACAATACCTAACACCAATTCTTGAATTTATTGCCTAAGTATTTCTCAAACCCTTCTCTCCATCCCTGCACTGCCCCCCCCCCCAATCTATACTGCCACAGAATAATCCATCAGAACACACCTGAACATGTTCTTGCCAGGCTTAAAACCTTTTCAAGCCCCACTGCACCACCCTACCTAAATGAACTCGTGCTTATCATCAGGCACTACACAAACTGGATACAGACATGATCCCTGCTGTCTCAATCCTACTACTTAGAGATCTGTCCTCTGCAGTCTTTCCTGCCATTTTACTTCTCACATTTCACACCCTATTAATTTGAACAGTTTATAGTTCCTCTAGTAGATGTTAAGGAGCCCTGGTGGTGCAGTGGATAAAGCACTTGCTAACCAGGTCAGCGGTTTAACCTCATCAGCAACTCCATGCAAGGAAGACGGGGCGATCTACTTCCGTAAAGATTTATGGTCTCAGAAACCCAATGGGGGTTGCTATGAGTCTGAATGGAAGTAAGTTTGATTTGGTTTTCTAGTAGACCTTGCTAATCTATGTCCACGCTTTTCTGCTTTCCTTGCTATGCCCTTCCCACCCTTCTTTTTACCGAGCTAATAACACTACTTCACTAGAAAACTATACTTGTTGTTTCCAAGAAACATCCTCCAAAGCCCTGGGCTGTGCTACTTCTCCTTCCTTAAGTAAGGAGTTCTGGTGGCAGAATGATAAAGCATTAGGCTGCTGACCTTTTAACTAAAAAGTCAGAGGTTTGAACCCAGCAGCAGCTTTGCAGGAGAAAGGTCAGGCAGTATGTTTCCATAAAGATTTACAGCCTTGGAAACTCTATGGGGCAGTTCTATGCCCTCCCTATAGGGTTGCTATGAGTCAAAATGGACTTGATGACAGTAGGTTGTTTTTTTGTTTGTTTTTAAAGTATGGTAAAGCACCTAGTATGAAATTAATTTGCTTTTGTCTCACACCCCAGTTAGGCTATAAAGCTCCTTTAGTACAGACTCTTTATTTTCTTCAGAACCCCAGAACCTTGTACAGTTTTGGCCAGTTATCTGCTCAAAAAATGTTTAAATGCACGTAATTTGTTAAACTGAATTAGAGAAAATGATCCTTTCATGAAAGTGTAACTACACATATTCAACATTAATACACATATAACAATTTATCTATAAATATTTATTAAACAGTATTTTTTACTTCATTTTACATAAAAAAATACAGACTTGTGAACACTCAGCTAGATAGACTAATATTAACAAGACTGACAACAGTGTTGTTAAGTGTGTAGAACAGCTAGAACTCATACATCACTGGCAATATTTATTTACTAAAGATAAAAACATAAATACACCTTATGGACCAGCCACTCTATTCCTGGTATATCCCCAACAGAAATGAGTATCTATGGCCACCAAACATTATAAGAGTGGTTTTAGCAGCATTATTCATAATAGTCCCAAACTGGAAACAATTCTAATGTCCACTAATATTATAATGAATAAATTCTGGTATATTCCTACAAATACTACAGAACAACGAAAAAGAATAAACTTTTGCTAATGAACAAAGAAACTACTTTATGAAGTTCAAAAACAGGCTAAACTACCCTGTGGTGACAGGTCTAAGGAGTGGTTACTTTTAGTGGTGGTGGGTATTGACTAGGAGAGCCACCCACCTATGAGGAAACTTCTAGGTTTATGGAAATTTCTATAACATGACCTGGGTAGAGTGGGTGAACACTAGATAAAAGTTTGCCAAGCTGTATACTTAAGATTTGTGCACTTTATAGCATATACAAGTTTATACAAGATAAACTTGTGAACTAAGATCTTGGAAATATGCCAACATGCTGGACAGTACATCCATGACACAAAAGGTAAACTGATAAAAAGTCTTTATCCCTGTGCTAAAACATGGAAAACATTTTTTTAGAAGAATTTTTTTAAATGCATCGTATTCCATTTATTATAATGGTTTCAACTATCATTTAAAATTCATAATAATGTTTTCAGGTAATTTTCTACTACTAAATAAACTAGGCAACTCTGGTATTTTTCTGGTATTTTATGAACACTGAGTTTCAAATTTCAAATTTGCTAAATTTTGAGAAACTTGCTACATTCAAAATAAGGATCTAGCCTACAGAATTATTTGTTGGTAGAAATATTCTAAAACAAATTTACTTATTTGACTATCCTCCATATCTACTTCAACTGTGCTGTCACCTTTCTAGTACAGATGAAATTAAATTCTTTAAAATGTAATAAATATATTTCTTGTTAAGATTTTTGGTGGGGGCCAAAATGACCTTGAGTACCCTAAAACAACTAGTATACTTTGTATTCTAGATTGTGTTTTTGGTCAGTATGTCTGTTACTATGAAGATGAATATAACAACACAAAAAGAAATATTCAATTTAACCCAAATACCTGATAAGATTCCTCATATTAGTATTTTGAAGAAAGTATACAAATAAAAAGATTAACAGATTTAAATACCTTTAAGTGCAAGAAGTAATAAAAGTACCTAAAAACTATACATGTATATATGTAGAACTCTGGGCCATAGTATACATAAGGCAAGCGTGAAAACAGCACCTTGAGACATTTTTAATTACAATCATACAACTGTAGGTATGTAACACACATATATACACATACATACATATACATATGTGTATGTCTGTGTATAAACAGAACATTTTGTATTCTAACCTACAAATCTCAACATTAACCAGAACTTCCCGAGAGGCTTATATAGCACATTAGTGAGGTAGTAACAGGTAGTATGTGCGATCCATGAGTTTTTCAAAGATGTTTGCAGCTTTTGATTTTAATGCTATTTACCTTCAAGGCACCAGTCCAAATGCTCATTAATTTGAGACTCCAAAACTTCCTTCTGACAAACAGGACAATGAACCATGTTATTGTGACCAGAAGAACTGTCAGAATTCTGAGCTGAAGTTACAGGATGTGAATTATCCTTTGGATCATTACCACCATTTTGTATTTTCTCTTTCTTAATAAAGAAACCATCAAAAACAGACTTGTCTTCTGGCCTGGGTCGTTTATTTGGGAATTTATCATAAGACCCACTAGTATCTTGGGGCACAGTCAGAGATGTTGATTCCATTGCTTTTAAAGAATTTCTTAGGAATATCTTAGAAGATGTAGCCCTTCTCTGAGAACCAGAAGAGAATGAGTTTTTAGGGATGTCACCAACTGTTAAGCTTTTCGTTGGAGATCCATTCACACTTCTGAGAGCCTTTTGGTTGACAACTGATACTTTAGGAAAGTAGTTGCTTAAAACATTTTGGTGACTATTACTAAGAACAGTGGAGACTACAGAATTTTTTTTACTTGAACCATTTTGATCAAATATCACCTCAGTTTTAGAATTCGGTCTTGGAGCATTTGCTGAATGGTCTTGACTTAAAAGGTCTTGTGTTTGCTTAATGGCAGGAGAGGTGATAAATTTCGGAGATGAAGGTGAATTGCTTGTTCCTCCTAGGACATATCCTTTCCCAGAAAAAGGAATTAACAGCTGTGTCTCACCTCTGCTTCGTTTATCTGCAAAACAAGCAAATAAGATATTTCCTTGACTCAAAATTAATACTGGGGGTAGGGTGGGATGGGGGTAAACAACACAGACTTTTGAAAAGAACACAGTGAAATTGTGAAGATTTTTTTCTTTATAAGCATGAAACATGATGATAATGTATCATGTACAGATAAAATATCATAGTTCATTCCAAAATAAATACATTACCATAAAAAAAGTTTGTCATAAAACTAATGCAGAAACAAGCAAAATTAATGTATAACTTAAGAGTTATTGTCGCGTGAATACCCTAAAAGCTTCAGAAGCTACAATGATCAAAAATTAGGACACCATCACTTGTCACCTTCACTCAGATGAAGAAATAGAACTTAACTGTTATTAGTCATTTTAGATGCTCCTCCCATGTGCTTCATCCACTCACACACTTCCATAAGTTAACACTACCTTGTGGTGGTGGTTTTATAATTGGGGGGAAAAAAAAAACTCACAGCCATCAAGTTAATTCTGACTCATAGTGACCTCCATTGGGTTTCTGAGGTGGTAGAGCTTTACTGAAGTAGATTGCCCAGTCTTCCTTCCACAGAGTGGCTGGTAGGTTTGAACTGCTAACTTTCTAGTTAGTAGTCAGATGCCTTAGGCACTATGCCACCAGAGATAAACTATAAAACCACATTTTGTGCTTCTTTATCACCTAAAGTGTACATCCCTACACACTACAGGTTAGCCTTGCCCATTAAAAAACAAATTAAAAATAATAATACAGTAACAAATATTAACCTAATAAAAAATGGACAGTTTTTTTTTTTTTTTTTTTTTCCAAAATGAATGCTATTTTATTCTTAGAACCATATGATAGCTACCTGTTAAGGGGAGAAGAACTATCTTCAGAAGTCAGATCTGGTAATTAAGAGAACACAGAGGATATAAAAATTCCTATCCTATTTAGATAAGGAATTTTACTATGCCAAAGACCAATAGAAAAGTAATTTTTACCACTTAGTGTCTTTTAAGTTTAGGTCTATAAAGAAAAATTGTTACCACATTATCTTTCCTCCTACTTTCAAAATAAATTCTCTTCCCACATAAATCCTTCTATAGCCCCTTAACTTACCATTTCAGATTTGAGAAAAATAGCTTATGTTCCTGGATCCTATCACATCAAAGCCTCAGTTTCTCAAAGGAAGAAGTATCAGCTTTGCTAACCTGGTTACCTCTGAAAAAAAGTAGTACTAGCTAACTTCATAAGGGATAAATCTTAAAGATGAAGTACTGGCAAAGACATGCCATATCCTTTTCCCATTCTTCTCTGAACAAAAATACATCAATAGCTCGAGTGAGTTGGACAGAATCCAACTAATAGGAAGGGTTACAGTTAAGACTTACATTCCGGGCATTGTTATTTAATTATTGTTTTTATTTTGGCAATCTTTTTCCTTCTGTTTCCTCATAACTCAGCAAAAGTCAAGACAGGGAAAGAAATTTTACATCTAATACTATCAATGGAAACTATTTATACTTTTATTCATTTCCATATAGAGCAAAGTATTTTTTCCTACCATCATTTCATGAACAACTTATGTCCACCTGAAAACTTCTACACTAAAAACAATCCATAAGCTTACGTTAATGGCAGTTCTCTAAAGGACAGTACTGTCTTTACGTTGTAGATATGGCCATGGAAAAGATGTAAAGAACATACCACAAGGACCTTTATTCTCTGCTGCTGATATTGGGTGCTCTCCTAGTTTTGTCTTTCCTTTGCCTTTTTTTGAGTAGTTCTCTGGCTCCTTGATTTTTATGTAAGTGCCTCCACAAGTTCTCTGGTGCTCAGCCCACCAGTAGTCATGAGCAGAAGGGGCCCTGTTAGTAGCACGTTTTACATAGCCATAAAATGGTTTTTTGTACTGACAGGGGCCATTGCAGCGCCACCAATGTCGACGATACTCATCCACCTCATCGTGAAAAGTATGGTATACCTGGGTCAAGACAAAATTTTTAGCATTCAGTTGGCAAGTTAATTTAATACTTCACATAAATAGCCTATTTTTAAACTTTTGAAACTATGTTGTTTCCCAGAACTTTCTGGAAAGTAACATTTTAAGAAAGACAGCAACAATATTTAGCTTCTGTTCAAAGGTTCACTTTTATGGGAACCAGCAGCAGTTAATTCAGTACTTCCTAAACTGCGTAAAGGTAGAATATGTGACATTAGAAGAAAAACATTTAAAACAGAAACACTCTATGAATGCTGAACGCTTGTGAAGCTAAAATGGTGGCAAATTAGGATAAAGGCAATATTTTTTTTTTTTTAATTTTTATTGTGATTTGGGTGAAAGTTTAGAGGAAATTCATTTTCCATACAGCAGTTTATACACATTACATAACAATGACTGGATTTAACAGCTCTCTTTCTACTTCCTCCCTGTAGTAATCTCATCCCTGTGTCCTCCTTTCCTAGGCATTCGGATAAAGGCAAGATTTTGCATAACACTATAATAACTGTTCCTACTGCTAAATTGAAAACTTCCCTATATGGAACAATATCAAAGTGTTCTGAGGAACTAAACTATTTCCTATAAATACTTATGCCTAACACACAAACAACTTACCTTGGAGTCTTTACTAAACTATTAGAATGCTTTTCTGTCCCTCTTGCATTCTCAAGAACTCTGTTCATCTCTTTGTAACAAACTTTATGGGCTAACATTTTATTACTTTATGGGTGTGTTTCTATTACCAGATTACAAAGTTCTCCAGGACTCCAGTATTTTCATCTTTGTATCCCCAGTGACTAATACAGTGCTTGGCTTGGTAGAGATACTCAATGAGTATCTGCTGATTAAGTAAATGATAAGCTTCATTCCTTGAGTCAAAATTCTCTTTTCAATCTTTAAGCAGAATCCCTTTTTCACCCTTTTACTTAGAAACTAAGCAGAAGACAGATAAAGGAAGAGTTCTGACTGCAACAAGGGGTAGCCCTCCCATCACGGTAGGAATAAGGACTGCAAAAAAACCCACTGCCACTGAGTCATAAGGACCACCATAGGGTTTCCAAGGCTGTAAATCTTTAAAGAAATAGGTTGTCTCATCCTCGTCTCATGGAGCAGCTAGTGGGTTTCAACTGCTGACCTTCTGGTTAGCAGCCAAATACCATACCTACTGTGCTGCCAGAGCTCCATCAGAGGAGTTCAAAATGGAGTCACGCCAGTGAGCAGCACACTTTATCCCTCTGGCATCTAAGGTCTTGGAAAACTAACCACAACCGTTTGAATTAGGAATTTTGGTGCTCAGAACAGCTCACGGAATTAGAGTGCATCAAACATGGAAGAGCAGAATTAGAGGAAAGGCAAAGGGAGATTTTTTAGGAAAGAGCTACTGAAGGAGGATGGAGAGGCACCTGAGAGAGGCACTGGAAACTCTTCTGGAGCAGTCACTGTGTGCCAGGTTAGGGTGCCCACCTGAGATCCCCAAGCCAAGAAGGAGCACGCCTGGTAACAGCATACCAGCAACCATTCTAATATTCCAGCAGCTGATCTTGATTTTTTGGAGGTAATTTGGGTCTTCTGGGTGCTGGTGGTGGGCACAGACACCTCCACTGAGATTCAGAGAAGAACTTACTGTTGCAACAGGAAGGGTAGCTCCCTCCCTGCCCAGCGGGTCACAGAGTGGACTGGGATCAGACTGGAAGACATCATGCTTTTCTTTGTCACAGAGAATGGGACCGCAGGTCACTAGCACGTACTTCCCCGACCCTAACACAGCTGAAACTGTGCGCATCTTTGGCACCGCAGCTGGGTGGTATCATAGACAAACTCTAGAGCCAGCCATATTGGTCTGGCGGGATTACATCAGCACCGCAGGCAGACGGAACAGGGAGAGGGAAGAAACTGCACTCCCGGGATTTCTGCCTTAGAACCATTCATTGGCGGTGTGGGGCTGCGGAGGCGGGATCTCTGAGTGTGCCTGCAATTGGCGGAAATTTGAGACACTCTAACAATATGAATCTTTCCTAAGGTTGAGCCGCAGTCTTGCAAATAAATACGTCATCAAATATAGTCTTCTCAAACCGACCCTAGCAACACCAAGCTTTCCTTCTTCCACTCCCACCTTCTCTACCAATATCTTCCCTCACTCAATAGAAGAAAACATATTCAGCCAACTACCATAAAACCTCCCTCTTTGAACTCTCTTTACGACAAACAGAAACACACATCCACACTACATACAGTGATTCTACCATAACAAAGAAAACAGCAAAGCAGCCCAACATATTTGAATCAATAATAAAATAAAACTCACCAGCTTCACCTATTCAAAATATTAACTATAAAACCAAGACAAAACAAATCAACATGTAACCAGCAGCTGGTGACAACCTAAAGAGACAGCACTCTACCAGATTTCAGGGACTTAAGAAGAGGTTCTGCTTTCCAGTAACCCCAACAACTCTCCAGACGTGCACTGCACGACCGAAAAGGTCCTAGTCTACGCCTTCTTTTTTTTTTTCTTTCTCTCGTCATTAACCCTGTCCCTTATTGGTTTTTGTTTTGTTTTGTTTTGTATTTGCTTTTATTTTCTTTTGTATTGTTGATGTGTGTGTTTGTTTGTTTTCTTTATTCATTATTCTCCTTCTCTACCTTTTTCCTCTCAGTGACCTATCCCCAGATATTGCAGATTTATCTGTTTTCTTCTTCTTTTCCTCCTTTTCTTTTTTTGGGTTTCTGCTCCTATGTGATTTCAGGGTATATTTTTTGTCCATATGCTTATAATTTTGTCAATGGTTATTCAATTGTAATTTTTGCCTAACTGACTGGGAGACAGCAACAGTCCTCATAAGATACAACTACACCCACACCTCCTGCAACTTCACATCATAGAGTAACCTCAAAGAAAATAATAAACCTTCATATCACAATAAAAAAGAGGACAAGCACAAATATTCAGCATATATTAAAACAACAGCAACAAAGGAAATGATAACATGATTCATAAACATAATGAGCTTAGCACAGAAAATAATAAGGAACAAAGAAACCAAGGACACCATGAAAAAACACATAACAAAATGACAGCAACAAATTCAAAGTTATCAATAATTACCCTGAATGTTAATGGATTAAATGCACTGCTCAAGAGACAGAGAGTTGCAGATTGGATAAGAAAACACAACCCATCAACATCCTGCCTGCAAGAGACACACCTTAGAGATAAAGACAAAAATAGATTAAAAATCAAAGGCTGGAAAAAGATATATTAAGCAAATGGCAACTGTAAGAGAGCAGGAGTGGCAATATTAATTTCTGATCAAATTGACTTTAAGACAAAAACCACCATACGGGACAAAGAAAGA